GTGTGTGTGTGTGTGTGTGTGTGTGTGTGTGTGTGTGTGTGTGTGTGTGTGTGTGTGTGTGTGTGTGTGTGTGTGTGTGTGTGTGTGTGTGTGTGTGTGTGTGTGTTTGTTTGTTTGTTTATTTTTATTTTTAATTATTTTTTTCTGGATCCCGCAACGGGCGCGTCCGGCGTTCCTGAATCGAGCAAAGAGACACCATCAAAACCTGGTACTAACCTTGTCTACCAAACTCCATGTAGGGAAATTCTGCAAGGTGGCGGCACCCATTTATGGCTAAAACTGCCCGCAAGCCAAAACATCTACCCGGATTTTGAGCAAGTGGCTCACTTGGCTTGGGCTTTCCGAATGATCTTCATATCATCTCCAAAGTCATTGGGAAGCGGGTGAATCCGTTGGACTGGCCGGGGATGTTGTGAACCACGGGGCAGGTGGAGTCTAAGCCCAAGACAAACCTTGGCTCCTCACGAGCGAACCCTGAACATGGCCCAACGTGTTCCTTTTTAACCCACCAAAAACAGGGAAACCACAAAAAGCCATACACATGACTATGGGTCAAAATTAAATCACTAGGAGAACGCAGGTTTAGTTTCTAGTCTTATTTACAAGGGTTCCATTTTGGGCACGCATTTTTGACCCACGGCCACATGTTGCCCAATTTGGGGGGCGCTTGCCCAGCATGTCTCGTGGCGATTTGTTTACCCGCATCTTGAGCTGCCGGCTTCCGGAGGCAAAACAAACCAAAAAAAAGGCATCCCTTTTAAGACCCCGCCAAGAGCATGGGTGTCCTTTTAGGGGAAATAGCTGGATTTCAGGTAAACCAGGAATCGCCATCTATGTTTCTAGCAAAACAACCAAAAAGGACACCTACGGCCAAACGTCCTATGGTTGTCAGGGGCCAAAAGAAGGGACCCTAGGAGCACCTAATAGGCCTTATTTGGGTGCTATTGGCCCCTATTGAGATTTGGGGGGAGTTCCCTATTGGTGGGCCCTTTGGTGTATGCCAAGGAAACAGAGGCCCCTGCAAAATCGAGAACTCCAACCCCATATCGCCATAGGTATCCTTTTGGGAGAATAGAAGGATTTCTCTGGCATCCTCCAAATTGGGTCCCCTTGAGCCATTCTTTTACAAGTTGGGCGTGGGCCAAAAAATTGGCAAACCCCAAAATGGGGGCAACCTGGTAAATGGAAAGGTAGTCCGGCTTGATTCTGACCCATGTTGACCCAAAGAAATCAACCCCAGTCTCACAGGGGCTGGGGGAATACCCTTCCCAAAAGTGAGAGCTGATTCCAACCACATTTCACCCGACACCCCGCTACAAGTAAACGATTGATCAACAAGGGGTCAACATTGTTCTACTCGACGGCTTGGATGTGGCTTTTGTGGATTCACCCCTGTAGAATATGAAGAGAGCACCAAAAGATTACGTAAACAAAGGAAAACAAAGTCCACAAACAGCGCCTCCCGACTGTTTTTTTTTTTCTGCAACCTTTTGCAGTGGAACCGAACCACCCAAAGCTCGGCTTTTTGCCTACCACGCCTAACCGGACCCACCAACACCAAAACCGCGCAACAAAAACCTGGTCATGGATGGCCTTTTGGAAAAAATAGATGGCCTGATACATGGAACGAAGCCCATCTAAACCAGTGAAACCCATCCATTTCTAACTCAAGCTCACCTAAAAAAGGGACACCTATGAACCTCGCCCAAACCGAACCCGCCGCCCGCCCTAGCAACATTCCCCAGTTGAAACCCGAACCACCCAAAGCTCGGCGGTTCCCTACCCCGCGCCTACCGGACCCCCCGACTGCCCGACTCGACCTGGGCCCCGAAACCCAAAACCGAAAACCGCTGGCTCGCTCCAGCTGGCGAGGCCCTGCAGCTCCAGGGGCCGCCGCGCCAAGTTCCCTGGCCCCAGCGAGGCCAGGTGCAGCTGGCACCGGCTCCGCAGCTCCCGGGCCTCCGCTAGCCGCAACGCCCCCACCCCCATAGCGCCCCCCCCGACCTAAAACCACCAGGGTATGGGTCGAAATGGCCCCCCCATGACTCAGATGGGTATGGGTCCGAAATGAAAAAGCAGGAATTGGACCGCAGGTTGAAATGTCCATGTTTCCACTTACTGGGGTTCCATTTGGGGTACATTTTTTGACCCACAGCCATATCCGACAAAACTCTCACCGCGAGCGAGGCGTCCGCGAGAGAAGCGGCGGGAGGAGCAGCGCGAGCGCGAGGAGGCGCGGGAGGTCGGGAGCTGAAAGGGTCCAAAATCCATGTGGCGTGCAGTTCTGCCAAACTCGGTAGAACCACCTCAGATGTCACTTGGACTTAAGGTTTGGAAATTGCTGGAGTCCTTACTGAAAGCACATGGTTGCTTCATACTGTGGATGGACGAAATCCATTTCGCACCTTGAAGCCATAAGAAACCAGGACGTTTGATATTTACGGTGAAATCATCATTCAAGGGGTTCTGAGGTGACGCAGGATTTGGTCCATCCGCTCTCAAATGTCCCACCTCCCATTCCGCCTGTGGTGTCCAAACCTGGGGTACTAGGCGGTCCGTTTTCAGATCTGATCCGCTGAGATAGGGGAAACCCAACCACTCATCCCCCGAAAAACCGAAGCTGGAACCGCCAAGGTGTGTGATGTCTCAATCGCCCCTTAGGCAGCCAGAAACTTGCCTGATCACCTGAGACCTTTACTGAAAGTGGGAAACCGAAGGGAGACCAAAAGGTCAAAAGGTCGATGCGCTTTGCGGAAGCGAGTCAATATCCAAACCTTCAGTCCAATGTGAGGTGACACTTGGGACACTTCGGGGTTCTGCTGATTTGCGAACAACTGCATGCGGCGTGGATTTGGTCCATGTAGGGACAAGCAAACCACGGCCTTAGACAACTCAACAGGGGGGTGTTTACGCATTTAGAGTGGTTGAAACCGCCGGTGGCATCAAGCCCCAGCGAGTTGAGGGATTCCTGGCCCTTCCTGGTCATGGATTTGGGGGGGTATCCAAGCCCAGGAGAAGCCAAGTTGATAAGCCCGCAATACGTCGCTACTAAGCGCTTAAGGGATACCCCCCCCCTCCCCATAGCCCTTCTTGGGTTCATGGCAAGGGATGCAAAGGCTCGGTGCCCGTCTTGGGAGTTTGAAAGGCCACCCAATTGAGGGGGCAGATGATGGGTGTGTCTCAAGCATAGGTGTCCTTTTAGGAGGGAAATAGATGGCCCTGGTAGATTAAGCCACCAGGTAAACCAGGGCCATCCATTTTTCTACCAAAACCACCAAAAAGGAAACCTCTGGTCTCAAAATACAAGTTCCCAACAATTCAGGCGTCCCCCGTTGGCTTCTCTCTTTTCAAAAGGGTACCGAGGCCAAGAGAAGCTCGATGTTTTTGCACCTTTGGAGCTTCCCTTTCGTTTCCCTTGGGGCCCACAGGAACCCACCACCCACCCACCCACCACCCCCCTTGTTCTTCCGCCTGAACCCCCCCCCTGAAAACCGCCGCACCCGAAAGCCCACAAAAAAATAAAAAGATCCGAGCCCCACCCAAGCGACCCGGATCCGCAACCCAACCGCGGCTCGCTCGCTCTCCGCTCCCCGAAGCCCTGCGCTCGCCTGGCTGTAGGCGAGCTGCAGCTGCTTGGCCAGGGAGGTGAGCTCTTTGGGCGCGAGGGAGGCGCTGAAGCTGCAGTTCACCACGATGCCTCGAAGAGGCGAGGAGAGGCGAGAGGCGCGGAGAGGCGCGGGGGGGGGGGGTTGCCAGTTGGGGGTGGGGGAAAAACTGGATGCCAAGGGGGGGGGGGGGAAAGGGAGGGGGGGGGAGGGAGGGGGGGGAAGGCGGGAGGGCGGGTTTGGGTTCCCTCTGATCAAAGGACCGGCATTTCGTGTCCCAAGACATAGGGAGACAGCTCAACACATGAAGGAAATCCTTCCAAGTGATTATTATTGGTCTCAGCGGGTAGATGCGGTGGTGCGAAGCGCTGGAACTTGGAAAGGCCCGGCATTTCTACAAAGGCTTGAGAAATGCTACGAGAATCTGACGTTCCTTCCAAATGAGCTGAAGCATGATATGTGGAGAAGCTCTCGATCGACATCGGGCGCAGCTTCGGAAATAGCAGTGCAAAAGGCTTCGCCAAGGCTGTCGGAGCAAAACCAGAAGGGACTCAATGCTTGGGAGCTGTCTCCAAAATCAGAAGGTACAAAATGGAATATCTCCGGAGGCTTCGTTTTAAAGGGTCGCCTTCGTTTTACATGGTTTTAGCCCTATATCTGAACACACCTTGAGGCGGAGTGTTTTGGAGATCCAAGCAATATCCGATATCCCTAGCACCCGGAGCCGCAAGCGGCGAGAGAAACCGGAAAACAGCTGAATCACCCAACTGGCGCACGTCTCCCAGAGACTGACGCTTTGCAGCGCCCCGCAACCAAGGGAATAGAACAATGCACATCAAACAGAACCAGCAATGGGAAAAAATCCAACAGCAAAGTTTAACAGCACCTTAACTGTCCAACGTCTGGCACCCCCTCCCCCAGTTCAAAGGAAAGGAGTCAAAGAAAATGTGAGAAACTAAAGCACACGTGATCAAATCTCCTTTTTCTGGTCCATTGGTTTTCTTCCTCCAGCCAGCACGAAGAGTTTTGACCCACAATTCACCCTCCCACCCTCCCCTACCAAAACTCGAATGCTTGCCATGAAAGCCAATGAGAAACTCTGAAAATCGAATGAGGGCCGGCAAGCCGCCCATGTCCCACTTCCCACGTCCCAATGCTTCAGCCTCCAGTGAGAGGCGCTGCCACCCACTTCCCCCGGCTCCACTCCACTTCTCGGGTCCCCCGGCGGGGCCGGCCGCCCTGGAAGGCGCTCTCCAGCGCCGCGTCCGCCGCCGCCTTGCGGTCCCGCCCCGCCTGGGGCGACCGGGGCGCCATTGGCGGGCGGACCCGGAAAAGGGGGGGCGGGGCAGGGAGACGAGAGCGAGTCGAAGCGCAGCCAAGAAGCCATAGGTGTCCTTTTTGGGAAAATTGATGGATTTCCCTGGTAGTTGGTTGAACCACCAGGTAAACCAGGAATCGCCCGACCTATTTTTCAACCAAATCAACCAAAAAGGAGACCTATGGGCCAAGGCGACTGAGGGCCGACCCGGCAGGCCACGGAGACGAGTCGATGAAGCGCAACCAAGAAGCCGACCCAAACACAACTAACATGGGTTTGTGCAAAAAGGCCAACTAACCGACCAAAAGGAAAGTAGTTTCTTTCTACAGGGGTCTGTGCACAAACCCATGTTAGCTGGTGGGAGAGTACAGAACCCCGAAGTGTGCAAAATGGACCCTAAATCGCAGGTCTCCTTTTGGGAAAAGTGATGGATGCCCCTGGTAGATGTCTGGTTTACAACCAGGTCAAACAGGGATCGCCTTCTATCTTGCGCCTAAATGAACAAAAAGACGGCTATGCCCTAAATGTTGGTTGCAAAACACGGGGTTGGTTGCGTTGCTTTACCCTGAAAGAAGTTGGTTGCAAAATAGAACCTCCGTGTGCATCATACAGGGGCAGGGATGGCAAATTATCCAAAGCATCCAAACTATCCAAGTTGCTCAAAGCGGCAGGGCATGTAGAATCTGGTTACCACAGTTATGACCCAATCAGCAAAGTTGTAAGTCCTCCTAATTGGGTTGTACTTGTGTGTGTGTGTGTTTGATTTCTCTCTCTCTCTCTTTGTCGGAAGGTCGTACAAGGAAACTAGCTCGACAAGCCCAAACAAAACATCCATTCGCACATGTGATCCACTCGAGTTGTTGATTCGTCAACTGTGTCAACATGTCCCACCTAGAAAAGTCCATCTGATGGAACGGGTTCTGAGACCAGTTGTATTTCAAGTGAACTGACTACATGCCTCCAGCTTCATTATTTCAACTAGGCTCATGTGGGACTATGTCAAAATAGGGCACCCCAAAACATGATAGTTGTCCTTCTGGGATTTTAGCCAAGAACGGGTACCCTCAAAACAACACACGCACAACTTACAAGCACTCCCTGACATTCTCACAACTTGCCTGCCTTGCTGGAAAACCCACTGCCCATGGCCCCGCAAGATTTCATCTGGGAGCACGTGAGTGTGGTGTTTGTTGCATTTCCAGAACAATCATTTCTCCTAAGAAAAAGAAAGCCTTGAAATGGCCACACCAAACTGCCAGGCTCCGCCAAGCAGGGAGATGTATTCAGACCCCTGCAAACGGTATTCTGCTGCCCTGATTAATAGACCTCCAGTTAATCAGGGGCCGCCTTCAAGGAAAGGATTCCCGACACAGTGTGGTGTCGATTGAGGGTACCGTTTCCTTTCTTGGGTAGTGCTAAAGAAAAGGAAAACCGAAATCCAGGTCCCAAAAAAAGACACGCCCATGTTGGGTGCGAAAGAAAAGGAAAACCGACATCCATGGTCCACAAGGTCCCAAGAAAAGACACGCCAGGTTTCAACTCTCAGTCATGCTTAAGACAGGTCATCCTCAAAACCGGACCACGCGATCCGCCTCACCGCCTTCCTGGGCTGTCCAAACTGATCCCCTGCTAAAAGTTGCGCTTGTAGTGAGTGGATTAGTGCACCAACCATAAACCTAACTAAGCTCAAATGATATCCCCAACAGCATGCGGTGCTTTTGTTTGTGCTCGCACCACCCCGCAGCCCTAGCAGAACCTCGCGAACCCTCATGGAGCCCTGGTGGAACCCTGGTGGAACCCTTGTGGAACCATACCTCAGGGCCGCGGACCACCCCGGAGCCTGTCCGACCCTATCGACCCCAAAGAGTTCAGGGGCCAAAACCGAAGACTTGAAGCCTGGAGACCTTCCGATCCCACCTCCCTCCCGATGTCAAGAGATCCAATCCGCCTGGCGCTCGCGCTCCAGGAACTCCGCCCGCTCCTCCGCGGTCATGGCCTCCAGCCGCGCCTTCCGCTGTTCCTCGCGGTCGGTGGGGGGTGGGGGGTGGGGGGTGGGGGGTGGGGGGTGGGGGGTGGGGGGTGGGGGTGGTGTGGGGTGGGTTGGGGTTTCCACCAAAGGAGAGCTACTGTGTTTCCAAGTTGAGCCAGGAAAAAGTGGGGATTTCTCGAAAGGAAGTCCGTGTTTTTAAGGCAGTGGCAATCCACGGTCGGGGGCGGGGGAGGACTTTCCTACAAAGGAGTCCCTCAACCCGCAGAAAGCTCCAGAAAAACGCCTTTACCCAAATCATCTAGGAAATCCCCATGTTCGAAGAAACGTACAAGGAAAATGTTTGGCCAAGTAGAAATTCCTCCAGCTGGTATATTCTTATGCGATGCTTCCCCTTGCTATCTGGGTGCCTGGAAAACAACGAAAGGCTGCCTCCAGAAACTTAGGGCTGGGCGAGTAAAGGGGAATAATGGCGGTTTGAGTCGGGAATGTTGACTTCGGATTTTAACGAGGATCGTACTAACCATGGTTTGCTCTTCTTGTTCTTCTTCTTCCTCCTCTTCTTCTTCTTTTTCTTTTTTTGGGGGTCCTCTGATTGGGGTCCTCCGCATTGATCCGAAGTTGAAATTAATCCAAGGGGACCAAAGGCCGAATGTATACATCCACATCTCCCAACTTGCTGGTCCCAAAAACTTGGGTTCCAGCGCCATGCATTGGCTAGCATCTCCCATCTCTTAATCCCTTTCTCTTGATCATTCCTCGTTATTCCTTCATACCCATCTCTCTTTCACCTTCTGTCTTCCATCCATAGGTAATCTGCTTAAATTCATGTGCATACAGCCATAGGGGAGGGGGCTTGGGCCTTTTTGGTAAGCCTTTGATTTCGCCTCGCTACCTGGAACCCACGGCTGGGGTGGAGGTCAGGGTCCTTCCAAACACTGGCGCTAGGGTAGGAGTCACAGGACTGTAGTGGATTTCCCCATGGGAAAAAGAACTGGCGGCCTTTCTTTGCTGGTTGCCTTTCAAGGGAAGCCTGTCCCTAAAATTGGTTGGACCAAAAGTTGGTGCCACGTCCCTAGAAAAAAAATGAAGAAAAAAAAGCGCCACTGGCGGGCCTAATGATTTTACCATACTCAAAATCACCACCCAAGTTGTGGGTTGAAGATTAGACAGCCCACACAGAGAAAAAAAGAAGCAAAACAACTGCAAATTAGGAGTCTACGAAACTTGTAAGTCCCCCAAACATGGGTTGTGTGTGTGTGTGTGTGTCTTGTGCTCTAGTTTTCCGGAACAACAAAATCTGGCCCGGTAGGCGTCACCCCAAAAGAATCACCCCGCCAAAAAGGAACCACAACTGTCCAAAAGGTGATGCTTCAAACCACCCCAAGGAGGGAATTGTAAAGGGACTTATCAAAGCGCGGGGGCCATTTCTGGAATTGATGAGGGTGCGTGTCAAGATAGGGGGCCCCCTTTTTTTCTCGGATTTCCAGATCTCTCCGGCTTTTCGTGTGGTTGCTCGCTTCTTTTCTCCTAATGTTAACCCCGGATGAATAAACCCCCCGTTTATTCATATCGGGGTGCTCCCCTCCAAAAGTGGTCTGAATCCCCACCCCCATAGTAATAAACAGGGGATTAAGAATTCCAGGGTCAACATAAGCCAACGCAAAAAAAAAAAAAAAAGGAGAACACGTGCTCTCGCCAACTTCCGCCTGCTTCCGGAGCTTCTGGGCCTTCTTCCGCTGCTGCCTGACGGAATGAGAATCGCTTCGGCTTCGGCCCGCTTCGGCGCGCGGAATGGACCAAGCGGAACGAGCGCGGGAAGCCTGAAGTGGTTTCAGCCATTCTCAGCCTCTTGCTGGTTCAATAGGCAGGGGCCCTCGGAAATGGACGCACCCCCGGAGAAAAAAAAAAAACGGTACGAGTGGTTTCATGTCCTTTATGCGGGAATCCCCCAAAACCGGCTTCTTCCTTTGGAGACAAACAAAAGGGTTGGGACAGGGCTGTGGGAAATGAAATCCCCTCCTATGATATACCGAAAAGGGGCCCCCATATGAGTTGGCAGGTTTGCCTGGTCTTTTTTTAGTTGGGAAGCTTTGAAATCGCGGAACCCCCTTCAAAAGGATGGTGCTTAAACTTACCGGTTCCCTTTGAAACCAAAGGCAGATGTTGGGCCCCTCGAAAGAAACTTCGAGATAAAGCAAATGTTGAGCCACCAAACAAGACTAGGACGAAATCAGGTGTACACAAGAAATGCTCATAGGATAGTGGTCTTCGTAGTTTAACCGTTACTTAGGGAGCCTTGGCTTACGCAGAGGACCCTACCCACCCCTGAAAAACAATCTGAAAATCTTAACTTCAAGTGAGTTTCCTCTGACCAGGGTGAGGCTTAAAGTGGGAATAAAGTTGATTCCCCGTTCAAACAGCGCTTATTGCAGAAAAAGGGTCTAAAGAGCTCAGTGGCGACTCAGTTGACCCCCATGCAACCCCATAATTCAGGGCGTTTCCCAAAATAGGGGTTCCCCAGAATGGCACCTGTGTCCTTTTCGTTCCTTTTCAACCAAAAGGGAACTTATTCGCCATTTTGAGAAACACCCACGGGATTCATACACTAGTTTTCTTTCTGAGGAGCACCCCCTAAAATGGTTTCAGTTTTCCTTTTGGCTTCCCTCTAAAACAACCAGAAAAAGGCTACACCCAATTTTACTTTGTGCGCCCCTGACGGCCAAAATAAAATAGGTTTTGTTGATGCTCCCCTCCAAAAAACCAAACACCTTTGGACCCCGACCCGGACCCCGAACAGCTCGCTCCGTCCCTCCGCGCGCCTCTGCTCCTTGGCGTGGGCCCGGCGCTGCTCCTTGCGCTCGCTCTTCCGCAGCCGCTTCGCCGACACCTCCGAGGGCTCCGCCTGCGCTGCATGTCGCGAGAGCTCTCGGCGAGGGCAACTCGGGGGGAGAGAGACGTCCCGAGACGCTCGGAACATCGGAAAAGCGGGGGAACCCGGGCGAACGGGCTGCCTCCTTTAAAGGGGGCTCTCGAAACCGGGGACTTTCGACCCCAAAAAAATTCAGGTGGTGCTTTTGAGCCAACGTGGGGATTTGGCACCTAGAACATGGCGGCTTTCGAAAATCTGGGACCTTCCACGCCGAATAGCCCTTTGGCTCAACATAGGGGTTTGGCACCTAGAACATGGTGGTTTTCGAGGTAGCCCCGACAAACAAAGCACACACACACACACTTAGATGTCGCAAAGTTAGCTAAGTGGTTGGTGACCTCCACTGCACCCTTCCCAAATGAACCCGAATGCCAAGTATAACGTTTCCCAACCCAAACAGACAGGGTCGGGTCCAGGCTAACACTAACAGAAACCCAACGAGTGCCGCGTATGAGCCTATGCACTACTTGCATGCCTACGCGGAAGCCTACGCGAGCCTACGCTGCAAAGGGTGCCTACGCAAGCACAAGCCGGCTTCAGGTGCCACAGTGCTGAAGTGCAGTTTTGGCAGCTCCGGCTCCTTGGCTGGAATTAGGACCCCAGCAAAAAATATATTTTTTGCCTGGTTAGTGGAAAACAAAGGGGACCCCAAAAAAGCAAAAAAGGAAAAGGGGGAGCTAATTCTGGGGAAGGCTCTAAGATCACCTCAGCATAAGCGGGAACCCCACAGTCCAAGGATCTAGGAAAGGTCTACGTACTCAAAAGTGCCCCGGAAGCCTACGCGGATGCCTGCGCGAATGCCTGCGCGAATTCCTGCGTGGAGCCTACGCAAGACTGCAGAGCAAACGGAAGGAAGGCAAAGGAAGCAAACTCCTTCATCTTATGCAATTTGGACTGCTCCCACTGATTCTAGGCCCACAAAAGCGGCATAAGAAGAATAAGATGTTCAAACTCTGCATCATGGAGTTTACCCTTCTAATATAAAGACCTCAGCATCGCAGCTGGAAGACTCAACAAAAGGATGCCCTTGCGTTCGGGGCCCCAAGCACCCGTTTGAGCCATGCCATGATTGGGGTTTGGCTCCCCCTGTAGAAAAAATAGGATTGTGAGGATTCCTCGAATTTGGTCCTAGATACTTCGAAGGTGCCGAATTTCCAACTCCTGTGCACTTTCATCAAAAAAGGCTCGATTCATCGAGGGGTCCCCAGTTTAGAGGGGCTCTTTCACTTCGAGGGTAAACATCGCCCCAATCATCCACCGTGTTTCTTAATCCGGAGTCGAGATTAAGCCGAAGTTGGTACTACTGGGTGTTAAATTGAGGGGGTCTGGAAAACGCCGACAATCAATGAACCCATCCCCTTTTGGTTCCTTCTGTGTAAGTAAAAAATAACAAAACCAAAAAGAAGAAGAAATAAACAAGAAGAAAAAGAACAGTGGTTGCTGTTGAGCACCCAAATTGGAACCCTTTTTTTCCGCACGCCTCGCTGTGCGGGCTGCTGGAAGCCGCGCTCATGGCGTTTGTGCAAGCAAAGGGGTGCGGGGGGAGGATTTTCGGCGCGTTGGATAGGTGTTGCGCCCCCCTGCAGTGTTTGGAGGCTAAGCACCCTTGTCCCTTGAAGCCAAAGGGAAGCGTTTCTTGGGTGGGTCTTCCTGTTTTGACTTTGCTTGGGGCTTGAAGTTTCAAAAGGAAACGCCAACCATTTACCCCACTGCAAGCAAGGCTTGCAGCTGTGGCGTCGCCTTCTGATGTTGTTGCAGCACTACCAGATAAGAATTTGGGGTAGCAGCTCCCCCAAAAGTCTCCACATGGGTTCGTTTCGGATCGCATGAGAAGCTTCGAACCCCGTGCGGGATGGTTTCGACGTTTCAAACGTGGCTTGGGTGAGCTTCATAACGCCCCAATTGCTTTACAAAAAAAAATCCTCCAAAGACATCAGCGGGCAAGCTTTGGTGACTTTGCAACCGGCTCAGGGGCTGTGTTTACTGGTATCCTGAAAATTGAAGGTCGAGACATGTATGGTAGCAAAAAACTTTGTTTTTTGCAGACCCCCAGTAAAAATGAACAGAACAAAAAAAAAAAACAAAAAACGTGCCAAGAACAGTGAAGATGCCACATGTCGGCGACTTGCCAGTTCAGCTGCCGCACCCGGCGACTGCTCTGGCCAAGGGCTGCGGCGACTACCTCTGAGGCCCCCCGAAGCAAAGGCAACGAACCTCGGAAAGTCCTTGCTCAAAACCCGGAACCGATTCGGGTAGAGGAAGGTTAGCTCAGTCGCCCAAAGGACCCAGAAACAAAAGGTTAACCTTTTAAAGCCTTTACTAAAGATAGACCAAATCGGAAAACCAAAAGGTTAAAAGGTCGGCTTTGGGCAACTGAGTTAGTAAGGGGCCGTCCCAGCCAGAAAGAGTTGCGGATATCCGCCTTCTTAATTCTTTATGGTTCTGGGTAGACCATTTTAACAAGGCAACAAACCTCGGAAATAGAAAAAGAAGTTTGGCTCAAGAGCCAGTGCAAGGAGGCGCAAAGGAAATCCTGCGAACGGCACACGACATTAACAGATTGAAAAAACAAACAACTTGCGATCGGTGCGATAGGCAGGGAATGTGGTTGAATGAACCCAGGCTTTGGTTCCCTTAAAGGAAACCTCCAGTTGGACAGTTTATATGCATTCCCTCATTCCAGCAAGATAAAACTACCTGCAGCCCTTTTTCTTGACACTTTCTAACGATTTCCTCAAAATTGTTATATTCCCCGTCATGGGTCAGAATTCCAACCCAGTGTTCCAAAAACCGTTCGGGAGCTAAAATCCCGGCAAATCCGTCGATTTTCCCAATGGTGTGGAAAAGAGTCATCCTAGGGGGTCGTAGGTAGGTCCTATCCCCAACAGCCCCGGAAGGCTCTGGAACCAAATCTCCTTCTTTCAGCTGCCTTCCAACCACCCGAAACACAAAAACGCCAAAGCTTGCAGCTGCGGAAACACGGAAACACGCCATTGTCGCCAGAACCTGCCCCTCCTTCTGGGGCACCTCCTCTGTGGAACAACCTTTGGCAGAGATCCGTACAATGGATCCACCTGAACATTGCAACTTGCAAATGGCGGTGTCCCTTTATTTTGGTGTTGAAAAAGCAACATGTTGCAAATGGTTGCAAAATGTATGCTTTAAGGAGCCCTGTTTGGGCTCCTCATCGCACAAACCCCCAGTTCCCCCCCCCCCGGCTCTCGGCGCGCTCTCGCCGCGACATCCGGCTTCCTCTTTTCCGCGGATCGGAGCCCGCATGGCGAGCGCGCAGCGCGCGGATGGGATCGGAGCTCACTTATCGCGTGAGGCGGGCAAAGGCCTCGGGTTTTTGGGGCGTGCCGTTGGTTTCTTTTCTGCACCTGGCATTGGAGGCCTTTAGGGCGTCGTTTTTTCGGGGACCCGGGCATTTTCCGTAAACAAAGGGACGGAAAAGACCGTATGCATAAATCTCCGGGCTGGGACCACTGTGGATGGTTGCCATTGCGAAATCCATAAGTTCAGAAACGAAATGGATTTCCCGGTAAATGCCAAGTGTCGGGTTTCCCAAAGCCGTATGATGATTCCCCTGTAAAACATGTTGGTTAAAATGATTCGATTCCCCTGCAAATACCAACAAACGGCATGACTTCAACCATGGTTTCATTTCGTGGTGCGAACGGATTTCGTCCATCCACAGTATGAATCCACACGCGGAGCAAGGGAACCAGCAGGCCGCAAATGCCACTTGTGGCTTTTCGACCAGCTCCAGTCTCGAAAAGGCGTGTCCTATGGCCTTTCTGTGCCTTTTTGAGGCTGCCGTGCTTTTTGGTAAAACCACTTCAAAGGGGGTCAGCAGGATCACCCATATGAAACCAGAAAAGAGAAACTCTCGTTGAAATCCCCTGGCACCTGCTCCCGTCTGATTTGTTCCTGGTTCGGTCCATGTTTTGGAGGCGCCAAAAGGTTCGCCGTGTTCCAGGTCCTTTGGTTGCAGGCGAACCTCTTGAAGAAAACCATCGACTTTGCTTCCTCAAGTTTTTTTGGTCGATGAATATGACTTTGAGTGCATTCCATCGAGAGCACATATCCAGTCGGGTTTTTGCTTGCTGTCCAGTTTTCAACTTGGGAGTCCTTTTGATGGTAGACCGCTGGGGCTGAAAAAGAGCTTCAAAGAGAACCCCGCCCCGACATGGGAGGTTCCCCCGATTTCTATTGAACATACAAACCACCAAATCATACGTCAGGATGATGGTATGTATATACGGCAGGGATCCTTACATTATACACCTGAACAATTCCTGGTAAATGGTGGTGTCCAACTTTATTTTGTTCAAAAAGCAACATGTTTCAAATGGTTGCGAAATGTATCTTTTAAGGAGCCCTGTACAGGATCATCTCTTGGCTCGGAATTTAGACTCAGGAACCCCCCCCCCCAGTTGGTGGTTTGGAGCCCGGACCTTTCACCAGTTCAACCCCAAGTTGCGGAGGAGGGCAGCTGGCAACCCGAACCTCCAAGCCACCAAGGGAAGTGGATTCCGCCTGCGGCTTTTGTGAGGCCATCCCAAAAATTTTCCGGGCGCCGCTTTCGGCCGAAGAAATGGGCCGAAGACCCACTGCAGAGAGAGCGCCGAAGAAAAACTCGGCGAGGGGGGAAAGAGAAAAAAAAGGACGGGGCCAAAAGCGGAAAGAGCCGACTCGGGTCCACCTCCCTCAAGGCAGCTCCATTCGGAGAAGTGACCATAGCCTCAAAGCTGGGCCCGCCACGGAGCTCACCGTGTGCCTCAGAGAGACTCGCACAAGACCGCGGAAAGCTTCCCGCCAAGCGTTCTGATGGACTCCACTAGGAATCTGTCCTCTTAAATGGGCCAACGCCTTGAGAACCGGCCCAAAAACACCATCACTCTAAGCCAAAGTCTTTCTGTGAGTGCCCTGTTTGGGGTTGGTTTCAAATGGCATGCGAAAAGGACGAAATCCATTTCACACCACCTGAGAAACCACGGGAAACCATTGCGGATAAGTACAGGGAATTCATCATTCCCGAGCTTCTCAGCTGGTGTGAAATGAATTTTGTCCATCCACACTATGGCTGTGGTGGGCATCATTTGGGTGTCCAGCAACCAAGAGAGGGTTCCCGAAAAAGAAGTCATGGCCATATTCTCCACCTGGGTCTGTGATTTGAGGCTGAGCACCCTTTTTAGATTTGACGGGCAAATCAAAATAGAAAACCACAACTTGAAGGGTCCCTCCCCCCATTTTGACACATACCCACCTGGGCATTACCCTCCCCTCGAAAAATACAAAACAAAACGTAGTTCTTTTGGTGCGGCGGAAGAAGGCACTACTTTGAAGCGGTCCAGTTGTATCTATTGAGGAGTAACAAATGAGTCCCAAACCCCAAACCACCAATCCAAACCGGATAACCTGAACAGGAGTCTTTTTGGGTCACTTTTGTGCAATCATCTAGCACCAGTTTTTGCCAAAAGCCTGCTGGGCCCTTGTTTTCCCAAGATCAGATTCCAAATGTTGCTGCCCTATTGTTGTTCCTTGAAGTGGTCGAGGATAATTTTATATGTCAAGGTTCACTAAGCATGAAACAGGGTTTGACTTTTTTTGGTGTACACCCGGGTTTGGGCCAAGATTGCCGAGAAAACTGATGTCCAACTTTCGGGAATTTTAGCCACCTGGCTGTGGGTCAAAACCAATGGTACCATTTTGGGCTAGGCGAATTCACCACCCATCTTACTCTATTTTAGCTGGGATCGGGATTTTGGCCCTTGGCCACCTGTTCTTCTTATGAGACTTTCTTTCCTCCGGCCTTAGCCAGTGCATCCTGGACTCGCCCTGCGGCTGTGCCGGGGCCTCGCCGGGGTTCTGACACGCACGCGACGTGACTTGACGAGCACATAGGAAAACCAAAACCCTCAAGGTGGCGGTTGGCTGGGGGTCTCCTTTTAAACATTAAACACAAAAAGGGGTATCCTTAAAAACAAAACGCCGTGCTGTGTCTTTTCTCTTTGATCTACCCCCCCACCCCCGGCCCATTGAGGAGCAAACGAAAGGCCAATCATTCTTGAACAAGCTGAACGTTCAAACAAGGTGTTGTGAATTTGCGTCAGGACCATTGCAGGGTTTTGCCGTTTTGCCCCAACAAGTCTGAAGCTCAGCCCAAACCCCACGCAGCACCCTGAATCCGCCTCCTCCTTGCCCTCCACCATGTCCGGGGGCGCCTTGCCGCTCGCCACCTGCTGAACTCGGGAAAAAGCATCGAGGCGACAGGTGGCAAGGGCCCGATGTGTTTTTGTGTTTCCCCCTTTTTTTAAGTCCGTATCAACCGACCATGGCTCTGCTCAAACACACTCATATCTTCAGTCAGCTGACCGATTTGGAAAAACACACCCTGCGAAAATGAGCTGTTTTGCCCGGGCGCTTGGTGTTTTCACGGGGGCTGGGGGGCGGAGATAGGGCCAAACAAGCCCTCAAAAAGGCCTTACAAAATCAAGGGGCTGAATTAGCGCCCCCCCCCCCCACTCCCCGGTTTTCTGAAACAAGTGATCCGATTCAGAGGCAGATGAGAACGAGCCTTCTCACCGATGTGCGAGCGGTGAGCCCAGCTAGTTCAGACTGAGTTCCTTGAATTGGGTTCAGGATGGCGCGGCAAAATTCCTCATTTTCAGCTTTGTGCGTGTTACCTGAGATAAAAACAAAAAGGACCAATTCATTGGGTCCAAAGCCGATTTCGTCCATCATGTATCATCTCGCTCAGCAACCCCTTGCCCCCCCCCCCCCAAACAAAAAAAAAGACACGTTTCATGTAAAGCCTAGCTGTAACAGAAGGGGTTCAGAATGGTTCGACGTTACCCGCGGACCTTCTGAGTCTTCTCTGGCGGAAAACTTGATGTCGGTTCAATGAGTTGGAACAAACTGAGGGGTTCACTCCAGCCATTCTGTTCAAGCATCGGTCTTTTCGCAAACCAGGCGTTTGCCCGGGCGGTTTTGATGGTTTCCTGAAAAAAAAACCGGATCGCTGGGTGACTGGCCGGAAGTTGCTTCCTTCTAGTAGCCTTCAGAGGGACAGGCTTGCCAGACGCATTCCCGTTCCCGAGAGGCTCAAGAAGCCGATGCCCAAATCCCCCAAGAAAAATATGTTGCGAACTCTGGGGAAGCGGAAAACCTTTAGGAAATACCAACAACAAAAACTGGAAAGGAAAAATCGTGGGGTGTGCAACCCAAACACGGCCTCCAAAAAGACAATTCGGTGTCCGGACCCCCCCCCCCCACCCCCTTAAGGGAAAATGCAACCCTGGAAAAAATAGAGGAAACATCCTGGCGAAGCTTATTCGAACCTCTGGGAAAAAAATAATCTAACGGCACCCCGCGATCCCAACCAAAATTCGATTTGGGGGGAGCAGCGCCGCCCGCTGAGGCGCCGATCGATCGGGCGCCCCCGCCAGCTGCTCGACCCGCTCCTGGCGCGCCCGCAGCGCTTTGGCGCAGAAGGCGTCACCCTGAAGCGAAACCCGGGGGGCGACCTATGTAGCGCGCCTCGGCATCCTTTTTTAAAAGGGATTTGGACCCCCCAAAATGGGGGAGTAGTTCTTTTGGTTTGATTGTTTGTTTAGGACTTAGCAGGAAAAACAGGGGGGGCCTCACCCAAATGGCCCTTTTCTGCTGGTTGAAACATCACCTTTTGAGTGCAACTTCTAGCTGACTTTCCTCTTGGGGTGATGTTTACGGGGAAACCTGTTCGGAAGGCCAGCAAAACTTTTAGGGTTTTCGGTTGTTTGGGGTGGGCTTCGGGTTGGTTTGACGTTCACCCCGGATTCATACACCTCTGGTTGATACATAGGGGGTGTCCCCTTTTAGTGGGGATTCATCACTTCTGGAAAGCAATCCTGGGTCAAGATTACTTGGTTTAAGGTTAGTGTAGGGTTGTTTGGGAATTGGCTTAGGGTTGGTTCAGAAACCCAAGGGATTCACTCGAGTTCCCCAATGGAAATACTCGAAGAAACGGTATGGCTTCAACCATGGTTTCATTTCGTGGTGCACCACGAAATGGGATAGATGAACCCCCCCAAAAAAAAATTGGAGAAGCCGCCTACCAAATGTGTATGTGTATGAATCCAATCATTCGTGCTGCGGTTTTTAGACGGATTCCGAGGCTCAAAAGGCTCCGAAACTCTGAAGTTGACCGGAGTCCGAAGCTCCCCGATTTCGGGGGAGTGGGGTGTGTCGTCCTTTTGAGGCTGCCCCCCTTGTTGGGTCGGATTATAGGGAAGCCAAAGGTTTCAACCCCCCCCCCCATTTCGTTTCGGGGGGGAAGGGGGGGCGGCGTCCACGCCAAACCAAGAAAACAAGCGTAAACCAAGCTAAACCAACACGCCATTAAAAACTCATCTAAGGACACCTGCAATCCTTCAAATCAGAGTCAGTACACCACCCCTCAACCAACCCTAGACCCACCCCAAACCATCCCTAGGCCTCGCATTCTGCCAGGTGCTTCTCGTAGAGGGCCTGGAGACGCCCCACAGACGAAGAATCGATGTGTAGGCGGATTGGGGTGGTTTTAAAGGGAAACCAGAGAACAACCGATTCTAAGTCCAATTCCCATTTTGAGACACCGTGGCACAGGCAAAAAATGGGAACCGACACGAAACCTGAACCATTTACTTGTTCAAGGTGACTAACAAGGACATTGCGGTTTCCCCCAAATGTCTGGAGGGAAATATGGGTGGAGAGGTAGCTCAGGGTTCCCCAAAGTTCTTCCTGTGGAACTTGACTAAACCCTCAACACCTGCATCATGGAGCCTTCGAGCAGCTGAATGTCGCCTTCTCGGAATCCATTCTGGACCGGTGCTTTCAAACAAGTGGAAGTGTGTGGGCATCATCAACAGGTCGACCGGATGTGTTGTTTCTTAACCGAGGGGGCACGGTCAAACAGTAGACCCACCCCAAAGGTGGAAATTGGAGCTGAGGATTCGGACTTCAGACACTTGAGGCAAGCACCTCTCACTTTCTTCATTTCACAAGTCTCCAAAAGGCGAAACCCCGTACCCACGGGGGTTGCTGGAAAACTTGAAAGAGGCCAGTGGAATCCATCAAAGTCAGTGCATTGCTAAGAGCTTTTACATGGTCAATGGATTCCCACAAGGAATTGGCCACCTCTCTCAAAATCAACCATGGAGTCTGCTGAAGAAAAAGAACTTCCCCCCTCTGGTACAAGAGTGGTCTGAATCCCCACTAAAAGGAATTGGACACCCAATCAAAATCAACCAGGGGTTCTGCTTAGATCCGGGGTGAACCTTGACTGCTATTGGGCAACGGATCCTTAGACTTTTACTTATTGGTTGAAAAAAAAAAAACAAGTTGGGTTTTGTTTCCACTCAACCCCCCAAAAAAGTGGTGATTATCTATTATTATTTTTGCGGGGAAGGGGGGGAATAAAAAAAAGAACGCCCCACCTCCCCCGGCCTTCCGCGCACGCATGTGGCGGCCCTGCTCGAAGACGCGCTCCTCCTGCGTCCGCAGCTCCTCCGCCTCTGCGGCCGTCTGCGCCACCAGGCTGTGCTGGAACCTGACGATAAATTTAAAAAAAAAGGCTTGGGCCCATACTGTGGATAGACGAAATCCTGCACCACCTCCTAAACCTCGAATGATTTCTTTCCCTGTAAATACCAACAAACAATGGGTTCCATGGTTTCAAAGCGGTGCAGGATTTTGTCCATCCACAGTAGGTGTCCTTTTAGGGCAAATAGATGTGGAAGGTGGACATCTTTCTGGAGGGGGAAGTCAACTTACGGCGAAGCCCATGGCGAGCTCCGCGCGAAGATTGTCGCTGGGGTTGGGGTGTGACCATAGGTGTCCTTTTAGGGCAAAAATAGATGGGTTTCCCTGGTAGATGAGGCAAAACCACCAGGTAAACCAGGAATCGCCATCTGTTTTTCTACCAACACAACCAAAAAGGACACCTATGCTCCAGGCAGGCGCCATTATGTTACCATCAAAGTCACCCCATGGCGCTAAGTGCTGGGGTAAACGGAAACAACCGATTCCATTTGCTGACTTTGAGAACCACAAGAAACACTGAATTAATACTGGCCCCAGCGAGACTGAGGGAAATTTTGTATGACACCTTGGGACACCCTTGGGAAATGACCCATGGCTCAAAATTTCCCAGGGGTTTTGATCCGGACATGTGCCTTAGATCGAGACGCATTCGCAGCCTCACCTGTGAAACCTGCTCGCACCAACAAAGAACTCCCGGCTTCTCCAAAAACCAGTGCCTTCAAGGCTTGCGGATCCCTTTTAAGCACCTCAAGTTGTGTGGCCTTTCAGATGGGCTCTCACAAGGTTCCTTGCAGACTTCAGGTTAATCAGAACCTGAACGTTTCCCAACGGAGAGCCAACGCTCGGACGTTCCGGAGCCAGCCTCTTGGTTGCCGTTAAAAACCGGGGCCCCCGGTTAAAAAGACACACCCAGATGGCTGAAACAGTTTCACTGTTTCACTCCTTCGGCGTCCCTAAGTCGTGCCTCACGAAATCCCGCATTACGTGGAACCGTCCCCATACTTTCTGAAAGGTTCCCATGGTCGAGTCGCGAAATGCCCGTCCTTTGGGTTTGGGGGTGTCTTAAGATGGGAATTGGACCCCAAAAAAGGGTGGGGCTCTGCTCGTGGCTTCTCTGAGGTACCCTCAAAAAAGGTGAGCCTCGTCATCCAAAATGGTAAATCCTGTGGTTGGAGGGCCAACCCTCAAAGCCACAAAGGTAGGGTTGTGCAACCCGGTGGTTTGAAGCAGTAGTTTCGGGTCCCACTCAGGTCGTAGAGATTTCTGATAGGCTTCACATGGAACCTGTCACGACCCGTAGCTGCCGAAAGGTCCGATGAGCTGTCCTGCTATGTCTATTCAACATCACTCCACGGAGAAACGTGGACAACTGTCTTTCAACAAAACATAAACATGCAAACCACTCCAAAGACGAGCATATCCTCTCTAGATTCACGCGTACCCCAAACACAAAGAGTTAGAAGCTTTGTTTTGGAAGATGGGCGATGTTAACCTGCAGGAGGGTAGGTTGGACCCCGGATGTATCAACCTGGGTGCAACTCTCCACATTGGTGTTCCAATTCCCTCTATGAGAATCTCTCATCCAAACCAAGGCGTTGCTCGTCCCAAACCTTGGTATGGTAGCAAAACATGTTTTGCTCTTGCAGTCAACTGCAAATATACATATATGTATATATATATATATATATCTGTATCCTTAAAAAAAATCTGGACTGGAGGGGGAAGAAAAAACAAAAACAGAAATAAACAAGAAGAAGAAGAAAATCCAACCACTGTGAAGTTGATTCCTGAGTTCCCCTTCCTGGTCCCCGAAACGGGACCGAAACCGGCTTCGCCGGCCTCAGGTGCTCGCGAGGCATGCGATGGCTATGACTGGAAGCCGCGTGCTCCGTCACCTGCGGTTTCTGGCGCCAAGGATCCAACGCTCTGCGAATCTGTGGGCATGGGTGTCAAAATGAGGTTTTCCTAGATAGCCAAGTTGCGATCGCTTTTTTTCAGTCACTTTTGCTGGTTTTTGGGGTAAAGTGGATGGAGAAAAAAAAAAAGATCGCAACTGGCGACCCAGGTGGTGTTGTTTTAGCGGGAGATCGGAATGGGGCCGGCAAGGCCGGTGTTGATACGTCCCATAGATCCCGAAAAATCACAACAACTCGAACAGGTATGCCTTGTCTTGAGCTGGCGCCCTTGCGTAGGTGTTCAAGGGACGCGAAAAGGAAAGTCGTTTCGCCATTTAGGGTCACCACAACAAAGACGAGCCACCCATCTGTGAACTTGGGTCAAAAACAGGATTTGGGGCCCATATCAGCTTCCTGCTCATTCTGGGGTTGGAGAACCTGACATGACTATGTATGGGAAATGTTTAAAAGGCACACAGAGCCGATTCCGCGAATGGATGTTGCTCTAGATCCCGATTTCTCGCGCGGGACCTCCACACCCACAGGTCACTCCTGAAAGATAATCCTAGGAAAATCGAAACTCTTTCTGTTGACTCCCTTTAAGCGGGGAGTGAAGGCGTTCAGCCATGTTAACCTTGTGCTTTTCACAGTTCCCTGGCACACGAGAGAGGCTGGGCGTGTCACAAAGTAGCTAGCTTCACCTCTCATTGGTGGTCTGGATCTGTGGTTCGGAGGTGCTCCGGGAGTCCATCCACGGTTGGCTTACCAAACACAGAGTGGACTTCACTTCCAAGCTGAATCGAATAAACCCTCAAACAAGGATCTTAGGGAGGAAAGGGAGAAGATTTGGGGACAAAGGCCTTAGGGGGGAAAGGGGAGAAATGATCTCAACAGGGAAAGGGGTGGAAAAGATCTTAGGGAGGAAAGGGAGAAGATGTGCGGGAAAAAAGGCCAACAGGGAAAGGGGGGAAAGATCTAAGGAAGGAAAAGGGAGAAGCTCTCAGGGGGGGAAAGGCCTTAGGCGGGAAAGGGTGGGAAGGATCTCAACAGGGAAAGGGGGGAAACAATCTTAGGAAGGAAAAGGGAGAAGATCTGGAAAGGCCTTAAAGGGAAGGGGGGAAAGGATCTCAACGGGGAAAGGGGGCAAAGGATCTTAAGGAGGAATAGGGAGAAGATCTCAGCGGGGGGAAAGGCCTTAGGAAGGAAAGGAGGGAAAGGATCTCAACAGGGAAAGGGGGGGAAAGATCTCAGTGAGGAAAGGGAAAAGCTCCCAGGCAGGGAAAAGGCCTTAGGGGGGAAAGGGGAAAGGATCTCAACAGGGAAAGGGGGCAAAGGATCTTAGGGAGGAAAAGGGAGAAGATCTGAAAAGGCCTTCGGGGGAAGAGGGGGAAAGGAGCTCAACAGGGAAAGGTGGGAGAAGATCCTAGGGAGGAAAAGGGAGAAGAAGATCACGAGGGAAAGGGGGAAAGGATCTCAACCAAGGGAAAAGATCTTGGGGAGGACAAGGGAGAAGATCTCAGGGGGGGAAAGACAACGAAAGGGGGCAAAGGATCCTAGGGAGGAAAAGGGAGAAGATCTTGGGGGGGAAAACGCCTTAGGGGGGAAAGGGCGGGAAAGGATCTCAACAAGGAAAGGGGGGAAAAGATCTTAGGAAGGAAAGGGGGGAAGATCGCGGGGGGAAACACGGAAAAGTGAAAAACTCAGAGGGAGAAAGGGCCTTAGGGGGGGAAAGGGGGAATGGATCTCAACAGGGAAAGGTGGCAAAAGATCTTAGGGAGGAAAAGGGAGAAGATCTCAGGGGGGGAAAGGCCTTAGGGGGGACAGGGGGGAAAGGATCTGAGCAGGGAAAGGGGGGGAAAGATCTTAGGGAGGAAAGGGAGAAGATCTGGGGGCAAAGGCCTTAGGGGGGAAAGGGGAGAAATGATCTCAACAGGGAAAGGGGTGGAAAAGATCTTAGGGAGGAAAGGGAAGATCTGGGGGAAAAATGGCCAACAGGGAAAGGGGGGAAAGATCTAAGGAAGGAAAAGGGAGAAGCTCTCAGGGGGGGAAAGGCCTGAGGGGGGAAAAAGCGGGAAGGATCTCAAAACAAAAGGGAAGAAAATCTCTCAAGGGTTGTCCTGGTTCAATCAACCACGCCTTAAAACCAGGCCAAGCCCGAGATCTTGACAAACCGAGCCGTAGCCGCTCGCCGCTCCCTTCTCCGCCTTGGCGGGCGCCGCGTCGAAGGCATCGAAGGCCTCGCTGGCCTCGGTCAACCCTCAAAAACTGGAGGCGTTTTTGTTGGGCCATTTCCTGTAGTTTGTCCTGTAACCAAACCCATTTGAAGTCTTTCTTTGCGGGGTGTCACACAACAGGGTATCAAAAAATGAAAGAACACACCCATGGATGTCCACCAATAAATGTTGCTTTTTTGAGGGGACTCCCCAAATTGGTGATTTTCCTTTTGGTTGTCCTTTTCCCCTCAAAACAAAAAAACAGAAAAAGAAAATGTCTTTGTATGTTTCTGCATAAAATGGGTGTGTTCTTGTTGAGTTGCTACCCTCCCAAAATTAACATGAAAGTGCACAAACCCCCTTTCCAACAGGAAAGCCATTTCTCGTCAGGAATCTGTCATGCTCATCGATAGGAGGGCACCTTTTGTTTTCCTTTTTTTTTAAGGGAAACCAAAAGGAAGACCGAAGCCATGTTCGGGGATTTGATTCCTTCTAAAAAAACACAACCAAATGGGTCCCCCCTGTTTTGACACACCCCCCACCTCGAGTAGAAACATGATCGTTGCCTTTGGCTTATTGGATCGAACATCTTTTGGTTGAGCTTTGACCTTTCCAGCTTGAGCACTTGTAACTTGCAGCTCGAACATGAAGATTTTCTTAACCCAAACAATGTCTTGAACAATGGAAACTTCAACCAGCTCGTGGATTCTCGCTGATCGCTGATTCCCCGGCCTTGGCCACGGACACGAAGAGCGCCGCGGCCGCTGCGTTGAGTAGGGGCGCCATGGCCACGCTGTGAGCCGAAAAAACCACCGCGGACCAACGAGCTGCGACGGCACCCTAAGGCTTCAAGGGGGCTCCCCGATCCAAGGAGAAGCGGCATGCCTGGAACCTGAAACGTTGCCATGCATGGTGAATTCATCCAAACCGCCGTGTTTTCCATCAAGAACGCAGATTCATACTGTCAATGAACAATGTCCTGCAGCCTGTTGAAACCATGGTTGAAACCAGAACGTTTGTTGGTATTTACGGTTGGAGATTTGTCTCATTCCAGGTTTGCTGAACGGTGGTGTGCTGGATGGGTTCCGCAACCACGCACAGTAGGGTTTCGGACGGTAGGGTTTAGGGATGTTTAATCTGAACCATCATGTGTAAACGGTTGTGGCGCAGGTTCTAGGCAGGAGCTGAACAAAAGTTTTGAGCCATGAGCTTTTCGTCTCCACGTGACCTGCCAACGTCTGCCAGACAGTCAAACAAGGGCAGGACATCCATGTCAGGCAAAACCGCCATGCACCACACGCACACACACTTAAACTCCAGATGGAGAGTGCTAATCTTTCGAGTACAACTGATGAGTCTCGAGTACAACTGATGAGTCTCGAGTACAACTGGAATGGAGGAAATCAATTATCGGCTTGCAGTTCACTTGGCTTCACTCTAGCTACTTCAACAGGGAAACAGAGAAACAACAGCGGTTCAGGGGAGGGACCAAAAGGACCTTGAATCACGTCTGCAGGTACGTTTGCACAGCAAACTGGATGGGTCTTCGTTGGCCCGGGCCATCCAGTTGCTCGCGGGCCCCCTGCTTCCAAAACCGGCACAAGGTGGTGACAGGGTGTTCTGTCACTCCGCACACACACGCCCCTCACAGAGGGGCGAGAAGTCTCTTTTTCGGGGGGAGAAAAAAAACCACGCGCCCCAAAACCGGGCGAAGACCCCAACAGAAAACAAACGGAGCAAGGGAGCCCAAAAGAAACAGAAAGGCCCCAGGTTGGGTCACCGCGGGCAAAACCCCAAACAAGAAACAAGAACAACGGGAGCCAGGTTTCGGGTCTCCGAGGGCAACAACCCCAAACAGCGCAAAACGACCTAGACCTTGTAGACGAAAGGGGCCGCGAAGGCAAAGAGGCAGAAGAGGAACAGGCCATCCCTAACCGGGCGAACAGGAAGTACAAGAGATAGCCCAGAGAGGAAAGGAAAAGAAACGAAAGAAAAGCAAGGGACGAAACAGAGAGAGAGAGAGAGAGAGAGAGAGAGAGAGAGAGAGAGAGAGAGAGAGAGAGAGAGAGAGAGAGAGAGAGAGAGAGAGAGAGAGAGAGAGAGAGAGAGAGAGAGAGAGAGAGAGAGAGAGAGAGAGAGAGAGAGAGAGAGAGAGAGAGAGAGAGAGACAGAGAGAGAGAGAGAGAGAGAGAGAGACAGACAGAGAGAGGCTCACAACTCGCGCCCGCTATAACACTGGCGCAACCTGGAGCAGCTGTGCCCTTCGACCTCGTGATGGAGCTTGTGGGGCCCCCGCCTCTGGGGCCCGCTCCGACGCTGCCGCTGCGGCTGAGCCAATGCTGGGCTAGACTGTCGGAACCGAAAAAAAAGATCCCGAGCTTTCTCGCTTTTTTGCTTTCTTGATAATACTTAGAATTCGATCCGCCGCAGCTAGTCATCTTCATCGATGGCCTCGATGCGTGCAGGCATGGCTTCTGGAAAAGCCTGCTGCGTGGGCGGGCAAGGACGCTCGCTGCCTTGCGGCTGCTCAGATGGCCCAGCGGCCTCCCGGCGCGCCGCTTCCAAGTACGTTCAAGACCGTTTTCCAGTTGACTTTCTTTGGCACTTGCCAGTGTGTCGGCGCTCGCAGCGCCAATGACCCCCCCGCTGCCTGGTGCCAATTGATCTGCCCCGATGAGATCAAAGCGTGGGCACAGCTCTACAACTGCATTCACCCAGGCATAGTCATGTTTACCATCTTTTTTTATAATCGGGTGCCTTGTCCGTACTCTACTGGTCACGGCAGGCGAAAGGAGGTGCATCTGCCTGGCGGCACTGAGGTTCTCTCTTCACGCTGGGTTCCCTGCTGCATGAAATCAATCGCTACAGCCAGTTGTCCAGGTTCTTGGGGTGTGTCTTGCTCGTCGATGAGGCCCAGCAGGCTGGCCAGGCGGCCTATGTGGCGGTCCATGGTGCCGTGCCCCGCACAGCCCTGACCGTTCACATTGGCGATGACCGCCAAACTCGAGGTGCCTCAGGCAACAACCCGGTTCGTGCGGAGGTCCTGCTGCGTCTTGGCCACAAACGCGTTGCCTTGCACGGCCTTGCTGATCTGTTTGTTCCACATGACTTCTTGGCATTGGCCACTGAGCAGCTCGCCGGGACCAGGCCGGAGGCTGCACCCCGCCCTCCTTGGTCTTGACTTTGCAGGGACGCGCTTGCCTTCCACTGCGGCCTTCGTTCGCAGTGCCAACGGCCTTTCCAGCCGAGGGGAACCAGGGCTCAATCTTGTCCTGCCGAGCAGCCTGCGTGTTTCGCCCCTTTTATGAGTGTTGCTGCATGGTACCCTCACCTGTTGCGCAGGCCGTTTGGTTGTGGGTGTGGCACTGGCTGTGTGTGCGCGGTGTCAGGCCTTCGGGCTCTTGAGTCGCATCCCCGGCTACTGTATGCCCGTGGCAAAGAGGTCGCCCTCGGCCTTGCGCCGGAATCGCTTCAGGCCATTGACCCACTTGTCGACACCCTGCTAGCAACCTACCATGGCTCCCTCAGCCGGGCAGCCCAAGCCCCCAAGCTCTTCTCATGACCCCGCACAACGACACGCAGCATCGCTGTCCCGGCACTTCTTCGGAGGGCGCGTTCCGGAAAATTGGCCCACCGTGCTGCAGGATGTGCTACGGATGCCAGTTGAGGTGCGGGCTCCGCCGCCAAGGACAAGGCCAAGGCCACGGCCGAGGCCATCGATGAGCGCTTTGACAGGTGTCTAGAGAAATTGCGGGTCATGGATGCTGACGCTAGGGCGCACTCCTACCACTGATCACCCCTGCCAAAGTAAGTGGCGCTTGCGGCCCACCCTGTTTCATCAGTTTCTGGAGTGCACAAACACTGTCAAGGCCACGGGCATGACAGGCACTGTGTCTGTTGTTGTCATCGGCAAGGACACTCGGTTCCTGTACTTTGGGGCTGAGGCTGAGGCCAGGTTCAACGTCCTTGACGCGTGCCAAAGCGATCACTGTGGTAGTGGCCCCGCCCAGCTCCACTAGGCATGCTCCAGACCGCCTCGGCGCGACTGTTTGGCCGGATGTCTGACTTGCAGCGGTCTACATGCTGCTTGGCCTTGGCTCCGGCTTTGAGGACCTTAATGCTCTCTCTATTATTTGTGAAATCTAAAACCGCTCACAGCGCATCCTCAGAGGTTATCATTCAGCAAATGTGGATTCTGCAAAAATTTGGTGGTTTTGCGCGGTGCGGCCACAGCCCTTCTGCTTGCACTTCTGCAAGGGTTTTCCGCCTGCTTCAATATGCAGGCAAAACGGGTCCTAGTCGCATTCTGTGCGTCTCGGAATTTTAAGTTGCCCGGGCTTAAAGCGCTGTTTCTGGCCTTGTAAGTGCGTTTCTGTTGCGGAGCTTTGTGGCTCGAAAAGCCTGATAAGTGCTTTCTATTCGCAACGGTAACTCAGAGCAGAAGGGTGGAATTCTCTTGGCCTCATTTGCGTCTCCGTCAATCCTCCGGCAACAGGATTGCATTGCTGGGTTAGGGCAGCCGCAGATAGGCCAGCGCGTATACTTCAGCTGCCGGCTTCCGGAACTTGCGTAACGCACAAGGACGAATGGGGAAGATCAAGCTTTTCCCCACGCCTGAGTACACCAGCAAGCAAGCCTCGGACCCCGTGGTGCCCCTGGTGCCATGCACGGGCATCTTCCTTGGGCCCAGCAAGTCGGGCAAAACTGTGGCGCTCATCAGTCTCATCCTGGAGCAGTACAAGGGCGTGTTTGAGCGGATCTACGTTTTCAGCCCAAGCGTCAACATCGATGATGGCTGGATCCCCGTCAAGAAGTACATCGAGCAGGACCTGGGGGTGAACACGGAGCGTGAGCAGGCTTACTGGGACGAGTGGGATGAGTCCGCCTTGCGGCGCATCATCCAGCAGCAGCGCAAGATCACGGAAGCGTCCAAGAAGTTGGAAATGAAGAAACTGTACCAGGTGCTTGTAGTCATCGACGACTTTGCTGACACGCCGCAACTCCACAAGCCGCATGGCGCCCTTGACACGCTCTTCATCCGAGGCCGTCACATGCAGATCAGCACCTGGGTGAGCTCGCAGAAGCTGAGGCTCATCAGCGCAGCCGTGCGGGTCAACATGCAATTCCTCTGCTGCTGGAGGCTGCGCAACCAGCACGAGCTGGACGCCGTCATCGAGGAGCTGAGCGCCCTGCTGCCGAAGGAGCAGCTGTACCGGCTGTATGAGCAGGCGACCCGAGAACCTTACAGCTTCCTCTTCGTGTACTACCTGAAGCCGAAGAACGAAATGTTCTACAAGCGCTTCGAAGAGCGTTTCGCGCTTGAAAAAGACGCCGATGGGAGCGGCGCTCAGCTTCCTGGGCCAGAAGCTGTTCGCCAGCTCCACGCTGATCAACGCGAAGTGTGAGAACATCTCCTGCTGCACTTCCGTCTCAGCCGTCCAGCCGCCCGTCGTCCGCCGAACGGGTGGTTTCCTAAAGAAAAGGATGACAACGATCTACGTGGACAGCCGCAAGAGGGTGGCCGGCTCGGACAGTGACTTTGAGGTCGACCTGGGAGAGTCGCTGCACCTGCAGAGCGACGCCCGGCTCGCCGTCTACAAGATCCGCCTGGCCGACAGCTTTTTGTCCACGGACCGGGGCCGCTACCTCTACTGGGTTGACGCCGCGCTGGGCACGCTGAACTGGGCTCTCCTGCCGGAAGGTGCCTACACGGGCGCCCGGCTGGCCGCCTGGATCAGCTCCAACTTTGCCACCGCCACCTATAGCGAGACCACAAACAGTCTGAGCGTTGCCTACGACGGCA